CTATTTGAAAAAAGAACATTTTGCACCTCAATAGATAGTTGTGGTTTTGGATCATAAAGCAGTAAGGGTTTTGATCTGTTCTGATTCCTACCCCTTGTGTCTCATTTTTCTCATGGCTTAGAACAAAATATTAATGTGACTCATCTGTCATAAGTAATTTTCATATCCTCAACCCTCTATTTTGGTGTCTGACTAGAGGGAAGCTGTAGTTATGTAAAAGTATTTGTGTATTTTGTATAAGGGAGGATGGGAATCATAGGTACTTTAATCAAAAAAAGACCAATGTCAGGAGAAAAGAGTGAATTATAAATGAAAGCAACTTATATATATTGTAGTTAAATGTAATAAATACTTTAAAACATGCTATTTCAATTTACTATTTCTTAGCTTTAAACATCACAGCTGTCATCCCTGGAACATTGGAAAAGGAAATAATAAATGGGGAAAAAAAAAATGTAGATTTTATGGACTGGCTTGTCCAAAATGAGTCCAAATTTGATACTGAAACACTTACAAAGACACTAATTATGCTTGGAAAGCTGGTATTTGAAATTGCAAATGTCAGTTCCAGGATGTCAATGTTTTCTGGTACAGTTTAGGAAATCCTGTGTAGCATGCTACTTTCAAAAGATGTAATTATGTGTACACATTCCTGTGACTTTTCTCCAGACCAGCCCTCTATTCCACAGTAGTTCTCTCTCACAAGAGAGAATTTAAAAAATTCACTAGAAAATAGCACAAACAATGAGTACAGCAGCAATTTTGCTACAGAGGCATTTGCAGCAATTGACCAGATTCCTCGTTTCTCCCTCAAACACCAGATTGAAATATTTCACTAAGTAGATCCAGTTCAATGCAAACCTCATTCCACAAAAGTCATTTGCATTTGGGCTGAATATTGAATCATCAGGACTTAAGTATATACTTAAAATAGAAGTTATATTTATGTGACTACTTAAATTAACCAGGGGTCATGCTGTTTCTGTGTTGAGAGAGAGAATACAGTGATTTTCTGCCTTTCAGATTTTGCCTTTCTGCACTTGAATTGCAAACACAAAGTGTTGTATTCCATAATCCAGTTAATACCTGCAGGCAGCAGAGTGGGAGGGAGAGGAGAGTGCACACCACCTTACTATATCTGAATACTTAGTACACAGAAAATAAATTCTCCCCTCTCCTTTCAGCTACAGCTTTGCACTAAGTAATTCTTAAAAGCAGAGCAATGAAATGAAACTCTACCAATCAGGAAATCTGATGTTTAAGTTTCCTCTTAAGAATGGTTTCTCTCATTCTCCTCTCTCTTTCATATTCCCTCCCTCCCTTGCTTCTCCAGGAAGCCTTCTTGGGACTTACTTTCTCCATAACAAAAAAGATTGCCTTGTGCTGCTTCATGTTCCCCAACATTATGGCTTTAGACTTGGAACTTCTCCAAATAGTCCTAATATATATATCAGGATCTCCATGTGACTGAATAACACAGGGGAGACAGGGATTGTATCAGTAGGAAAACTTTCATGAGATTATTTTTTCAGGTTAAAAAAACAATATTGCATCATTATGTCTTCAGTTCTGAAAGTGGAGGAATGCACATGAAGTAGTTGGTCTCAGGACATGAAGAGCTGGATGATATAATAATAATAAAAATAATAATAATAATAATAATGATAATAGATGAGTTTTAAAGAGAACAACATCTCAAAGTGGCCAGGAGTTCCTCTCAGAAAAATCAGTGGGAGCCTGTTGAGTGATTTACTGGAGCCAGAATTTGGCTTTTTATTGGTTACACTGTGTAGCAAAACCAAACTCTCAGCACTGGCCAAGGCCATCCTTGGAGCAGGCAAGGCAGGCAGGGGTAGTGGTGGCGGTGTGGGATAGGGAAAGGCATGTGAGAGGGAAAGGTGGGAACTGTGTCAGTGATGTTGTGGGGGCTTTTTGAGGACTGAGGGGACTGTGCGTGGGGTGGTTGTGAAGGGACAGGGCACTTTTTCTGCTCCTACAATTGTCTCTTCTCCTTGGGACCACTTCTTTTCCTTCCTTCCCCTCCTCCCCGGAGGCAGGACACCCAGAGACCTTCCCTTCACTTCCACTATATCCACCATCACCATCTACACATTTTTCTGTACCTTCTTGATTGTCAAGGAGGGGTCAGTCCTGGTTTGGAGGGACACGAACTAGGACAGGACCAGCGCAGAAAGCCAGAGAAATCCTGCTGCCACTGGAGGTAGAAGGGGCAGATGTGATTGCTGCTGCTGCTGCTGCTGCTGCTGTACTGGGGCCCTCTGGTACACGCTGGCACTCCTTTACCCTCTCTCTAATCCCACAAAGGCAGTAACAGCAGCACGGATGGTACAAACAGGAGGCAGGAATGAGCTCTTTGGCTGAAATGTCTAATCCCTCTCTCCTCAGGCACAGGCAAAGTAGCTTGCCATCCCCTTCAGTCTGGCAGCTCTCCATTTTGCTAACTATTCAAAGCTACTTCTGACTTTGTGACTTTCCTTCATCCATACAAGGAGCTGAGCCAAAACCTAAACACCTGCAAGCTGCAGAGAAGTTTGTATCCAGAGCTGAACTGCGGAGCCCAGAGCCGTCTCTAAAAGTGCTGGATGTGTGTAGATGTGTTCTGAATTATTGACTCATTGTTTGAAGGAGAAGGCCTGTTTGGCAGGATAAACAATAAAAAGCCACTCTTCATAAAACTAGGAAGCAAATGGCAATGAGGTTGTGCCTAATGCATTGGCAATTTCTGCCCTCCAGGCTTTAGAGTCCTCTCAGAAAGGGGCCAAATGCACATTTCTTTGTACAGCTCAGATAAATTGTATTAAACCAATTGCAAATAATCCACAGTGCTTGGGCATTGTCTCCTATCAGTTCCCCAGGTGGCAGCGCATCTGCTAAACTGCACCACAAGCTGAACAGGGGTCTGCTTGCGAGAGATGGAGGGAGTCAAAAGAAAATCACCACAGATTATCTACCAAAGCAAGGGCAGATCGGGGGCCAGTGCTAGATCTCGTATTACCAGAGAACTGAGCTGGCAATCATTAGAGATTTTTTTAAATAAATTTGACACCAGAGGCCAGAAAGCTTTGTCATCACTAATCTAATTCCTAATCTAAACCAAAGGGCCTGGAAAGCAGCCAGTTACTTTCTGCAAGGTCTCTGGGCTTCGTGAGGAAGGCACCCACCTGGCTGCTGTCATGCAGCAGCTCTCAGAGCCCGTGCTGGGGCTGGGTGGTCAGGTGGAGACACCTGAAATGGAGAAACAGATTCCAGCCAGCAACCAGAAGTCAAGAGCTGTTTGGCAATCAATGTACTCTGGAGGTACCTGGGCTGATGTTTTGAGATCTCCTTTCTGGCAGAAAATGCTCCTCAGTCTACAAGAGTCAAGCTTCTTCTGTGAAAATGTACTGTTTTGACCAAAATTAATTAATTCTTTTGTCAGATTTGAAAGAGAGAGACCTTATAATAGCCCAGGTGTGACATTCAGGTGAAACGGGGTAGCAGGCACGTTTTAAATGGGCTGGAATAAATCTGAGGTAAAACAGTCAAGCTACCCGCAGGTTTCTCTTGTGAAATCAGTACTCCTTTTTGGCTCTCCTCACTCTCAAAATGCTCCCTTCCTCTAAGGTTAGCATAGTCTGGTGGCGGCCGGGCCACTCAGGGCACAGCTTCCTGTGGCCCACTGGGTCCTGGGGTACACGGCATGGCTGAAGCTCAGCTGTGCAGAGGTTAGGAGCCACTACTCTTGAGTTTTCATTTTGTCCTGGCTGATAAAATGCTTAAAGTAGATTGAGAGATACCTTTGAGTTTGTTTGGCTCTCCAGAGTTACACTGACTGCTGGGAAACCAGTGGCTCTGGAGAGTAAAAACACAGGCGAGGAAGATCATAGCTCAAATATCTCAATTTTCAACCACAAAGCCAACCAACGTGTGAAAAGCATCACACTGCTTATCAAAGAGCTGTTTTTCTAGTAGCCCATGGGTTCAGGAAGGATGGACGCTGAGCAGCAAAAGGAGCATGTTGTCAGCAGCTGAGAGCCCAGGTGCTGGTCCCTCCCTAGTTCTGATCCAGCAAAGCACTCAAGTACGTGCTCGCACTCCAGCTGGAGCACAGGTCTCCAGAATTCACCATCCAGGACTTTATCACACTGAACCCTAAATATCTTGATGGCAGCTGAGCCCACCAAATCACAGAGACTTTTCCCAGTCATGTCAGTGGGATTTGGGTCAGGTGAAGCACATATGACTTGGTAGCAGCTGCATGAGAGAGATTAGTCTATAAAATAGATAAGCATATTTTATATTTATGTAGGACATTAGCATTGCCTGTGGCTCCCCTTGTTAGCATCCTCACATGACGACTGCAGTCACGTTTGGGACTTTGTATGGCAGTTCCAAGCACATCGTATCAATCCAAGCCTCTTGGCAACTAATGACTTTATGTTGCACATGGCATGAAAGGGTTTGTATGTACATTTTCATGGGGGCAACACACGTGGAGAAAGATGAGATTAAGTAAAAGTTTTTCAGCTGTCCTTCAAACTGATAATTTTATACCTAGTAATCTGAAAAAGCTATGCAGTGTCTCTGCAGAAGGGTGGGAACGAGGCTCAAGGCACTTTTCTTGAAATCCAAACCCATGTTTTGATTTACAGCATAATTATTAGAGGATTGCCAGCAAAAATACCAAACATTAGGATTTTTAGTCCATATTCAAACTGCTACATCAGTTTTCACAAGCATTGAGTGACTAAAAAGACTACTCAAAGTGAATGAGTTGCCAGGTTTTCATACTTCTGAACAGTAGACCTTGAATAAGAAGCCTGAATATAGAATTAAAAGTCTACGTTAAGCCACTACGTTTGAAAATCTTGGCCAATATTCCTTAATATTTCTGCAAAATGGATAGTGTGCTCATACATTTCTTATAAGCTTTCTTTCCCCCCTAGGGACCAACTTAAAATCAACAAAGTAACAACGGGCCTAACCCAATCAGGAAATCTAGGTCTCTCAAAGTGAAAAGCAAACAACTGTCCTTCTGCCCTTTCCCGAAATCTAAATGTAAGTATATCCAGCTTTGAAATCCTAAATGAGTTATACATAATGCCAAAAACAAAGCGCAAAGGCTTAAGAACTGCCTTAAGAAGTTGCCTTAAGCGACTGCCTTAAGAAGTTGTCTTAAAGCTATCACCTACACAGGATTTGATAAGTTATTCAAGTGTTTGCTATACACCAAAGCTTCTGAATTTTTAATAGAAAAATACATGGTACATAAATTTTGGTGATCATCCTCAGCAGCATTTTTTTTCCTAGATAATGAAAGAAATCTACCCTTTTAGTCATTCTCCATCGTTTAATAGGAGAGAACATGTAATTTTGGCATTTCACGTTTGTTTCAAGAATCTTCTTTTAAATCTATTTTTATGGTCAGGAAAGAGTAAGGGTTGAAAAAGAAATGTCAAAAAACATTATATCCTGGGAATAGAGTGAACCATGCTATTGATGTGCTTTTGATATCCAAAATGCATGTGTACAGGTGTCTGCTTCCATATGTATGCACATGTAAAAATAAACATCGGTAACGTTCATTGGGAAATCCATGTTTAATACAATGTTTAGTTGAGCTCAGTAATAGGCAGAACATGTTAAACATCATTCTGAGCCTTAATGGAAAAGTTTCTGACAACTAGACATTAGCTCATAGTATCACAGTCATCTTACGCCTATGACTGTTGTTTGTTATCAAGTGTGACTTTTGGAAGAAAAAATGCATTATTGCTTAACAGGCTGCATTGCAGTAGTGTCCTGCACTCTGTTTTGGTTTTTAGGTAGCTAATTAAAAGAACCCACATGTTTAGAGTTAATCATGTAAATCCTCAGGCTTTCTGAACATCTTTTAAGAAGGATGAGCACCACATTCGGTCATGTCTCTCTCTTGCGGAGAATCCTACACACTTGGTCTGAAATTAAACCAGTAGAGTCACAGAAACATGACCCTACAACCACGCGGCTCTAGAGCATCAGCCCTGGCAGAAACCCCGCTCCGTGAACCCACTGAACTTCTCCAGGCACCGGGCTGGACTGGCGCAGCGCCAGGGTATTCGGATCTCTGGCAGTGGCCGCCGCCGGAGCCGTCCCTGGTAACCGTTTCACCCGGACTCGGCGGGGCATCGGCTGCCGTCACCCGCCCCACCTCGGGTGCTATAGAAGTCTAACACGGGAAAAAAAAAAAAGAAAAAAGAAACAAACAAACAACAAGGAAATTGTATAGCCCAAGGCTCCAGCCCACAAAACAGTAACAGAGAATAAAACACTTCCCGGCTAGTATTTACATTCTCCCAGAGCATCCATAAGAAAGTTTTAGAACCCAATCCACCTAGCAACAAAACATCCATCCAAGAATGGCAGTGGACTATGTATGGTAACTCGGCTGCAAAGTTTCTACAGCAGTTGATGAAAAGACTGTATAAGAACACTGCTTTTTTTATTAGTAATTTCTTCAAGCCTTTCGATAAAGATCTTTGGTGTTAGGTAGTAATATAGATCACTTTAAAAAAAGTATCACGTGTTCAGCATTTTAGACTCCTTTACCTACAGCAGGTGAAACAGTAATATGAGCTCTTGAATATACTTACTAGACAGAAAAAAACAACAGTTAAGCTAAGCATTACAAATTAGCACCTGCTACTTTTCGTGCATGGCAAAATTGCTTTGAGAAAAACAAACACTGTCCACAACAATTCACAGCAATCGAGGAACAGAGAGTTTAGGGGGAAAAAAGCCTTAGAAAAGGGTTGAAAGCTCTGGAAAATGTTACTATTTCCTTTTTTTTTAATCTATTCCAGTGAATAGAGAAGAATTTCAGCAAAACATTCAGATCTGGGTAGAAATATCCCTCAAATTAAAAGGAAACAAAGCCCTTTATCTGTAGCAAGAATACAGAAAATTTTCAGACTTGAGCATCAACTGGCAGATAGACTTGGAAGGCATTTGGGTCCAATAGAAGTCCTGAGCTGCTACCAAAATCAACAGTCTAATTGTCTCAGCTGAAACTGGGGCTTAGCTTTTGGGTTTCCTGTAACTAAATCTTGCCACAAACAGCTCTGCTAAGTTTTTCCTCTAATAAAATAAAATACAGCAAAATTAAGATAAATACAAGAGACAATGAAGATGAGTATGTAGTTCCCAAAATAAGGCAGGGAGCAGATGTTAGAGAAAACTTGTGAAGATATCAAAATAGTACTTGTGGGTTCTAAATGGTTGATATGACAGTTCTTTAAAAATAAACAATCAAACATCTGAAAGTAATTGCTAGACTAAGGGATTTAAGTTTATTTTATTTAAGCAACAAGGTATTTTAAAAATGTACTCAGAATGTCTAGCTTGCTTCCAGTTGCTTTGGTTTTCTACACAGTGTCATGGTAGTCACTACCCACCCAAATGTGGTATTTTAATAATATTTCTAAATTGAAAAATGACAATTGAAATGAAGAAAGCAAAACTATGCAGAAAGGTTACCAGAATGCACAGTTTAACTTCAGACACTTTCTAATCTGATCAGGAAGCAGAATGAAAAAAATGTCTTGTGCTGAGTGCAGAGGCACTGAGTCAGGTGATGAAGTTATACAATTTTGTGGGTTTACTGAGGTCATATCTCAAAATCAAAAGAAAATCTAAGTGACTGGAAGTAATGTTTCAGTTTATATAGTCCGATATTCTTTCTGTCTATCCTTTTTCCTGTTGAACTGCCTTTTATGCTTCTCAGTGTATAAACTTCTTGAACATAGTTGTCTTCTCTGTCCTCAGTTTCCTCCTCATTTTCTTGTGCTTTATGTTCCTCCATTCAATCCCTGCTTATCTGATAATAAGGATTAGTTTACCGGTCTGCCTTTTCCCTGTCTGACTTGGGGAGCTGGAAGTACTGGATGGTTTTTAGTGAAACTTAAACCTCAAATTACTCATATGTTTATGGAAATGTTACCTTACATTTCCAGGACCATTGATTTTAAACAAGAGCCAGTTGCTGGACTCCTTTAGTCACTCGTGAAAACCTAGCTTCAGATTCCTCTCAGCAGCTCTGGATGGGAGGAAATTAAAGGGGAATTACAAAAGAAAAATCCTTTCCAAACATAGCAGTGTTATTCAATAGCTTAGAAATTTACTTCTCTTTTCCTGTTGGTGAATGTGGTTTCTTTAACTAATCCAAGAATTATTGTGAATAAACCCAATGGTTGCTTTTGTCTGTTTTGAAGAAGAGGGGCTTGTTTAGGGCTTTAGTAGTGATAATTAACACATAAAGCTCTAGTACAGAAGAACACGGTAAAATAACAAGATGAACTTGCCTCCACAAATCATTAGGATTGGGAATATTCCACGGATACCGCCTGCTTGGTGTTAGTAACCATGATGACAAGGTTATGATCCCAGGCTGTACAAAGCAGAGACCTGAAGGACCTGATGCTCATTAAATTCTCTGCTTCTCTAGTCCCCTGCTCCCCAAGACAACCTCACATGTGCACACATGTACACACTTACTTCTGGTCTTCGGCGACAAGTTCATTGGTAGTACTTTGACTGGTGGTACGCAGTGACTGCCTCTTGGCAAAGTGGGGAGAAACAGCTAATTCAACATTGCTCAGGCTGAAAAGGGACTTCAAGCCAGTAGGCAGCAGATTTTTATACTGGTAACAGGAAGTTCATGGAAGACTAGAGCAATGTGCCTGTCTGATTTGGGAACCAGTTGTACCAAACAGTAAGTCTTTTTATGGGTTTTGCATTAAGCATAAATCCTCCTGTTTATGTGCTGAAGCATATGGTTTGATAACAGATAGCTCATTAACAGCAACATGTAGAGCATATAGCTGCAGTCATCACCTTGCAAATGTTTTCCACACATTTTCCATAGCTTCCACGTTCAGGGAAAAGTAGCACTAAGTGAACAGTCTTCTTTCAAAAGCCTCATTGACATAATTTATCAATGTAATGATTCCTTATGAACTCACTGAGTTTCTTTAGGAAACACCAACGTGTTTTCTATGCAGGAGTCTCTGGAAATGTCGCCTTTTAAGACAGTTTTCTAGACCCCAGAGTGTTCAGACACAGAACTCATTAATACCTTTGTCTTGTAAAGTTCAGTGAATGCTACAACAGAATGAAATTAAATTTGAAATACAGTCAGAAGAATTACCCAGCTAGTAATGATAGTTCAGTTAAAATATTTGTTATATAAGTAACAGGTTAAGGATATCCTTTTTCAACTGCAAAAGTTATGCAAATACTGTTAAATATTACAGTTCATAGTAGTCTTGCATAGGAACAATTTCACAGAATCACAGAACAGTTGAGGTTGGAAGACACCTCTGGAGGTCATCTCGTCCGACCCCCGTGTTCAAGCAGGGAGACCTAGACTGGTTGCCCAGGACCACGTCCACATGGCTTTTGAATTATCTCCAAGGAGGGAGACTCCACAACCTCCTGGGCAACCTGTGCCAGTGCTCAGTCACCCTCACTTTTCTACTCACTCTCACAATTTCTACTTTATACATCTGAAATTTCCCCTGTACTTGTTCACTGCAGCAGTCTAGCTCATGATTTACAAGGGGTGGGTGAATGTTGGAGCACGATGCTGAAATCAGGGACATTTTAGCTGAGAAGCTGACGCAGTAGTTTGCTGAATGCATTTTCGGACCATTTGTAGCTGCCTGTGTATTCCTGGTGTAAATGGGAGATGGTGTAAATGGGGTCAGCTGTGCAGCAGCATGGCGTCAGCGCACAACGTGGGAACGTGAGCCATGCCAGCTGATGGCAAAGCTAAAGCTTTCTGTAGAATACTTGCTTTGTGTGCAAACAGCGTATTTCGTGCTACTTTGCTTGCATTACAGCTATTTTTAAGCAATCCACAACACGGAGACTTAGTATTTTGAACCTGCAAAAGGTCTGGCATGTGCTCAGGTCCCCCCTCCTGTGCAGTGTTTGTGAAGCTGTCCCTTGATACATGACAAACTGGAAAGACAAAGAAAAGGCAACAGCATGGAGTCTGTGCTGACAGTGTAAATAGAAGT